GAACAGAGTTACTGGGGCCTCTCCCTGGAGCCAGTAAGCAGGGGTGCTTGTTTCCCCTTTGTTTGGTGCACGTACATTTGCCTGCTGGGCAAGAGGGTTGTTTCCCTGTTCCTTAAGGTGGGGAACTAGTCCTATTATTTGCAGGTATGGTCACATGGGCAATGACAGTGAGACCTTGTGGGGTGTGATCTTAGGAATGGCCTGTCAGATCTGAATCTGAGTGGTGTTACTGTATAAGCCGTGAGACCAGTTTTCCCGTGCTTCACTCGCGTACGTCAGTTTGAAGAGGAAAAAGAACTCCACGGGACTCCGATGTGAAAAGATGTAACAAAAAATGTATTCCACAGTTTGCATCTTACAGGAGTGGTCAGGTTTAACTTATCCTCAACAAAATAACCTACTACGGTAGGAAAACCGCGTGGCTCTGATCTACCTCGCTGCCGCGGATAGCTTATGCCGTGTTAACTCCTTTTCTCTCTCCCCCCTCCCGCACTGCATGCGCTAATTTGCATACATCCGTGATGCCCGGATTTTACTATAAACACGAGTCTTTAAGGCACATGTATTCATGGTACTACGTAACCAAACCAACACAGCAATAAAATAATTTTAGTTCCACCATAAACATGCATTTACTTCTTAAATTATTAATTACACAAACAAGCTTAACAACAGCGAAATATAAATACTAAACATATGAACTATCTTAACTTGGCTCCCACAGTTACATCGCTGGATTTCTGTGATAATCATAGTTTGTCCAAAACAAACACATTCACTTGGCACTAAGGCAAGCTCTGTGGCAGGTCAAGGATCAGTTTTGTAGTGATATAACTGGAGCTGTAGCAGCGCATCTTAGACACTGCGATGTACAAAGTAGCGAAACTGTCAACTGACCACAACCTGGTGGTGAGGTGGGTCAGGGAGTAGGGGAAGATCCTGGACAGGCCTGGTGTTCCAATACATAAAGTGAGGGTACATGAGGTCCCGGTCCTTGAGTTCTTCAACTCCCACCTACAGCAGAACATCAACAGCAATTCTGCAAGAGGCTGGGGGGACTGAACACAAATGAACCGTGCACCTCCACTGCTGAGCCACCTTTATGGAGCTGTGACCGTAAGGTGGTTGGTGCAGGTGGTGGACTCTCGAAGTGAAGGGAGTCAAGATTAAGAAGGAATCCTATCAGACTTGGTTAACCGGTGGGATAGTAGATGCAACTGAAGGGAATCAACAGAATGCCACATTGACCATACCTGAATCAAAAACGTAGGTATGGAAGGTATTCGGAGAGGTCATGGAACAAGACATCAGATGCCTTAGGAGAAGAAAGCAGTGAGAATCAGAGTCAGAGAGACTTTATTTATCCCCAAGGGGCAATTAAGAGAATGTAGCGCTGTTGACTTGAAATGAGGACAGGCCAGGCAGTGGAAGCAATACTTTGAGGATCGCCTCAATCCCACTGACGTGCCTTACATAGAGGAAGCAGAGTCTGGTGATGAGGGGATGACTTGAGGTTACTGAGGTAGCTAAACAACTCCTCAGTGGCAGAGCTTCTTGTCGTGGAACTCTGTTAATTATGCTAACAGTCCGTCCAAGAAATCTGTGCTAGAGACTTAGTAAGGGAGATGCTAGAATTTTATTTGTGTTCCTTAGCACTAATTAGCAGGTATCTGTCTCTGTGCAGCACACTCATAGAGAACATGGATGCACCTTGTTAATGTGCAACTTCCCAGAATAAGTTACTAATTTAGCTGCCACCTTATTTTACAAATATCAACATTTCTGGTTACAAAAAAAACAAAAAAACCAAGATGATAATGTTTTTATTTGTAAAATTTCGGTTTCGGAACAGCACATACGATGGCTGTCACTCCGACTTCAATCAACAATGAGTTATGGGGCTTTAACACAGGATGTAGCACTTTAACGCTTGCTGCTGGGTCCAGCACACAGTTCAGTCCCAGATTACCCCAGAGCAGAAGGTGGAGGTGAAGCATAGCTGGAGTTTCCAAATCTTTCAGCGGGTATCTGTGTTTTCTATGCATCCTTTGCTCTTTACCTCAAGAGTTTTAAAAGATTCATAAAGCTATTAGCACACAACAAATCTAAGGTGCACTTAAACAGGGCGCCAATTTACAATAAGCTATGTAACTGTCAAAAACAGAGTTATTACAGTTTTTTAGGTTTTGTTTTTATTTGCTTTTAAATTTCATTTTCAGTTTAGTTTAATTTTAGTTTCAAGTGTGGATACGCTCACTTCAGTTTCCCAAATATAATTCTGCTCATGTGGATGAAGCGTTTTCAGTGGGAGAAACGTCTCATCGCTCATTCAAGTGACTTCTTCAGTTTTTTGGGGATTTCCTTACCTGGATGATTGAGTTTTTGTTTGTGAATTTGATAACCGGAAAACGAGGCTACATAGGAGTTTGAAATTGATACCGTGGGTGTTTCTCCCCTAAATCTCTGATGCATTTGAATCTGTTCCCTTCATCACACAGGGTCACCACAGCGGGCAGCTCCACACGTTTGATTTGGTGAATTTTTACACTGACACATCCCCAAAGGAATTTTTGTCTCCTCCAAGGATGTTTTGCTTGTTAGGCAAATATGTAATCACTACGATATAATTTATTTACTTTAGGGACAAGATATAAACCTTTCCTGCATTTTACCATCCTGCCTGCTGACCAGCTGAATGGATCCAGTCACTGCAGTACACAGCGGTCAACATTCACATTTGTTGACCCTTTGAACGTTGACAACTGTGTCCGCAAGAGCTCCCGAGTTGTGCGCATCACAGCGCTTGCACTTTGCACTGTGCAGCAGCAGACCATTGTACCCCGACACAAGGGTTTCAGCATGAAGTGCATCCCGTGTTCGATGTAAAAGCACCTTGACTCGTCCAAACCACATTCATGCAAGGCTTTCATTAATTACACGTGTTACCACAGTGAAACAGAAACAGAGTGAAGCATCATGCTCAGCTCTGCATAATATGTACTTGATGCTAAGATTAGACATATCTGAGATCTATATGTCGGAGATCTTTTTCTCATACTTATCTGTTTACCAGGCTTTACGGTTGTGTTTCTTTTGTTATTCCTAAACCAGACAAGAACATTTGTCTTAAATTAGTTTATGAAAGACAGAATTCAAAATCAAATAAGCTTCAGATGTGAAAAGGATTATCGGGTGGGGTGGGGGGCTGGGGGAGTACTGTAGGCAGCAATTTTTTTTCTTCTAGAAAGGAAAAAATATTTGGATGATGTAGCTGTTGTTGCTGATGATGCTTGCTTGTCCTTTTACATCCAGCTGGTTATCAGAAGGTGAAAAAAGTAAAAACACCCGTGTAGGTTGATATATTTAGAACTAAATCAATACGGTGTTGTACATTTATTGGGTCTGCAATATATTGGTAATTGAGACTGGCAACAGTTACAATAAATCTTATTACACCAGTCAGAAACATGACACACATACCGCAAATTCTCAATTATTGATCTCGTGTTTTAAACCACATCCTTTAGTGGATTGCTGCATTTGTGTCCTGTTTTATTACTGCTGCACATCTATTTCTTGTGTTTACAGTATTTAAGGTATGCTCATCGTGTCTCTGAACGTACTGCAATCTCTGGGGCACCTTTGTTGAAAAAATTGTTTACATTTTCATTTAGCTTCTCCAGGCTGCAGGAAAGATATCGTGAGGTTTTAAACACTGGAGATACTCCAGGAACTGACCCGCCTTATGCTGAAGGGCCCAGCTTTAAGGACGGGAGAGCCACTGAACAGAAGCTCAGATTAACAATAATCCCTTGTTCAACTTGTTGAGAACTTGCTCAAATCTCTCGTCTATCACTCCCATTCCTGCTTTATTTTGCCGGACTGCTCCACTTAGTGTAGACACCTCTGCCTCTGCCTCAGCCTTCTAAATAACTGTCGGTCCATTCGCTTTAAAATGTGGAAAAATTCAGCTTTTGTAAACGTATAAGGAATGTGTTCAGCTTTGACAGTTCAGCTTATGGATTCTTCACAGAAAAGTGAAACGAGCTGGTCTCTCAAATCAATAACTGGCAGATGTAACTGCACTGAAAAGAGTTTCAAGTGCTGCTCCAATAACTGCAACAAAATGAGAGGCGACGTAATGTTTTTCAGAGTTATTGCCGTTGCTTTGTTTGTTTGGAAATGTTCTTGTATACATCAACAGACTCAGGGACGGGTCACACAGGAGAGTGAACAAACATCACGGGGAAGCTGGCATTTGAAAAAGGCCTAATCACAACTAAACTAAATGCCTGAAACTATGAAATGAAATATCAGACGTGTGTGTGTGTGGGGGGGGGGGAGCCTCTATATAGTTCTGCATCAGTTACTTTTCAATTACAGCAGCCCAAGCAGAACGAAATTGTTAGTGTCATTTATCGACTGTGGTGCCCTCCATTAGAGTACCAACTGAGAGAAATCCATCCTGTTGTATAACCACCTGGCTGTCTTACAATAACAAAGAGTTCATTTCTGTCAGCTGGCCTTAAGTGTTTTGGGTGTTATACAAGGAACAGATGAGAAGTATACACCAGGAAACGCAGGAAAGCACACAGAGACCAATAAAGTCTAACCAAGCAGGTAATCATCTTGATGGCTTTTCTGAAACAGTTAGAAGACAGAGTGAAATGCCAGGGGTGCCTAAATGAATGAGATGACAAATCATAAAAAGTTACAAATATTTTAAATAAAAATATTTATTTGAGCAATTTTAAAATTAACAAAAAAAAAAAAAAAATGAGTTGCTTTTGAATACCTTCGCACCCGAGCACTTTCTAACAGCACAGTTAAAATCATGTCTATTACTTATGCCTTGATGATCTACCCTGGTGATGTGGACCAGGCAAGAGTAGCCGAGCGCAGACAACATCCCCAACCCCCCTATGTGTATATTTTTTTAATACTTTGTGAGGAAAAACTGTCAACCATATCCAAAGTGCAGGACCAAAGAGAAGTAAATAATGTATGCTTTTATTAGATTCTTTGAAGACGATATGTGCTACGCGTTACCCGTTTCAAATGTGGAAGATTTCAGACCTCTGCACAAAACAGATTTTGATAATCAGAAGGTGTATCTGGTTCACAGAACTGAAGAGAATGGCAGCGCAGGCCAGCCGTGCGAAGCACAGATCCTTGCCCTTGCAGGTAAGTTGTCCTCCTAACGCAGGAGATTTTGTCTTTTTTAACGCTTCTTTTCGCCGTCTGACCAAGTAACGCTGATGTACGCGAAACTCAGGAATGTGTCAAACCAAGTGTTTTCTTTTTCTTTTTTTTTGACCCGATCTGTCAGGACGTGATCAGCTGGAATCTGACACCGATAGCAGCAACAACGTCCTCGGCTGTGGCTAGCTAGATATGCTAGTTAGATATGCTAAGATAAGTTTGGTATGTAGTCATACCTTGTTGTCGGTGTTTTATATGTTCTTTACACTTACGGCGCCGTGTCTCTTAAGTTACCCCTCTTGTTTGGGTTGGGTAGTATTGGTTGTGTCGCTAAATACGTGGCATGTAACGTTAGCGACTCACAACGGTTGTTTACAACATGAAGCTAACGCTTGCTAGCTTGCTTGGTTTGTATTCGTTCCGTGTTAGCATGCTACTGCCGACGTACAGACGCAAGGCTGTCACCGTGTTATAAACATATTTGACAGCCGGTGACTGATCTGTCATTATTTTTGAGGCTCTCAAATGTAGTTGAGATGCCAATCCGGCGGCTTTGGTGGGCTGCAGTCTGCATGTTAGCTTTCTTATCGGCAGATTCGTGTCACAGAGGGGTTGCGGTGCTGCAGTCGTTGCAGACTACATACAGCAACCTGTCAGTAACATGTCAGCATCGCAGCCGTTTCATGTAGGTTTATCGTGCAAATGCGATTAAGTGTGCAGGTGAAATGCTTTTGCTCGTGATTATTTGGAGTTGTAGAAATGTTTGCTCACGGTCGTTTTCTATGCACGATCTTTAGCTACATCACTAATCCCCGAGTCTGATCTGTCTGAGCTGGGAGATCGGTACAATGTCGCCAGCCCAGGACCATACCGCAGTCCTCTGACATGCTTACATTCCTACCTCATTTAATGCTAAAGTCGCCTTGATGAGGCAGAATGGAGAAGCTAACCAATACAGATGAGAGCACTTCCGTAAATACTTTGAAAAGCATACTTTGAAAATTCATGCAACTTTTTAGGGACTTTTACGAGTTTATTCTTGCTTCTATTTCCGGGGCTCACAGATACAGTAGAAGAATTTGAAGATAGTATAACACAAAAGAAGATGAAAATTCCCAAGATGTCCACGAAGAATTCAGGAAACTCCATCGAGAACAATTTTGGAGAGGAAAGAATGCCACTCAGGCATAAAAAGGTAGGAAGATCAGAGGTACACTGTGGTTGTTGGGCATTGCAGCAAACATATGTGTCTGCTGCAATGCACACACATTGCATCATTTATACCGTCAATCATGTATAAATGATCTAAATCAAAAGGTGTTTAGACTTGTTTATGTTAGTAGTATCATGATAGTCTATCACACTGGGTCCGTGACATGCATTTGAGGATACTTTACATTAAAAGTAATTGCATTAAATGTCATCTTTCAAATAGAAAAATGACTCAAGCTTTGCCTTTTACTGTGTCAGAGAAAACCCAAAAAAGTTAAGTAGTGAAAAAAGGCCACATCAACACTCCAAGTATGGGAGCATGTATAACTTCACATGTAAATTTTTTGCAGCGATGCTCTGATATCTAAATATATCTATCAATGATACGTCACGTTTTCATAAACTTGGCTGACACCCCAAATCCCCCACACTATTTTTACCATATGCTGGATTAACACAAATTCAGCACTCTGGACAGCTGCCCTTTCACAGACAAATCCTCTGAGCGGCTCATCAAAGAACTCTGTGACTCCTGTCCTCCCATTTCCTATTGAGATTCGCATGTCAAAACAAACAGTTTGAAGTCTGCCTGTCGTGTCGTTTCAGACAGATTTGTGGTTTTACGTAATATTTTTCTTCTGTTTTGAGTGGCGTCAGTCATATATTTAGTCAGAGTCACAGCAAAGAATTTTACACAATACTATCTTGATGCATGCTCAATCGTCTGGGTAAGAAAATCCCAGAAAATAAGTTATGTTCTTCTGGATGCAGCGTTTTCAAAGTTGAGACTGAAGAAGTTGATTGGATGATTGATGAAGTGTGTCTCCTAATGGAAACACTATGTCTAGATGAACAGAATCGACTTTGTGGGAATACTTGTACATATGAATAAATATTTTAACAGGCCTAACACCAGAGTTCTCAAAGTCCATGACATATTTTTTTAAATATAGGTCAGATTTCATTTTGCCAACCTATTGAGTTATTACTCTCCTCAGGCCCTGTCACAGGACCATGGACGCCCCCTTTCTAACTCATCCAAAAGCCTAGCGGCAGTAGTGGCTCGCCTAGAGAGAAATGCAGCCAGCTCCTGTATGGAGGGCGAGGAGGACCTGGATGAGGACCGGCTGGCTGAGGTGGGAGAGGATGCAGATGACGAAGATGATGATATGGAGACAGAGCATCAGCGACATCATCACCAGCAGCAACAGCAGCATTTGGCGGTGGACACGGATTGTGTGCCTGAGGTGGCTGCCGCTGTTGTTCCCAGAGTTCTGTACGAGGAGCTGGTTCACAGCTACAGGCAGCAGGAGGAGGAGATGAGGAGGCTGCAGCAGGAGTTGGAGAGAACCCGCAGACAGTTGGTGCAGCAAGCCAAGAAGCTCAAGGAATATGGCAGCTTGCTGACAGAAGTTAAAGAACTGAGGGACTTCAACAGGAGACTGCAAGACGTACTTCTCATGAGACTGGGCAGCGGTGAGAGACCAGTAGCACCCACACACAAGCCAACAAACCAGTTACCAGTACCACAAAGTTGATTAGTGAACTTTAACCTCGTCAGTTGTTAAAGAAAACGTTTATATTTAAAATGAATACATATATAGTAAGGAAACTGACAAGTGAAGTGTTTCTTATACAGAAACATCTGAACAGCAATAAGGCCACAATTTCAGTGGAAGGAGTTTAGCAGCAAGCGTGAGGATGGATATTAAGTTTAGTGTTCACTTTATGTCCACACAGCACAATAATTTTACCATCTCTCTCCTGACAAGGTCTGGATGACAAATGCCGCCAATAATTGTTTTGCAATTATGTGCAAAAAGAAAAGTGTAAAGATGAATGTCTGTGAAGGTTCTCAGGTTCTCTCATCCGGGAAGCTTCTTCAGTTCAGAACTAAAGAAGCTTCTCGGATGATGATGATGGCTGAGTGTCAGTCAGTTAATCTGCTTAAGAACTGATTCTTTTATAAAACGAGAGTCCTACCTACTTTATAGGTGTCTTTAAGTTTGATTTTTGTTACTGTATGGGTGCCATAAATGTGCACATTCTATTATTGTCGCTGTTGCTGCTAGATCACCATTGCAACTAACTGATCACGTTGTTTATTGCCACATGACACAAAACCTAACGCATTGTTACGATTCCAAAAGATGGTTGAGCCATATACCATGGCACTGATTTACAATAAGGTAAATCAAGATAAGCCCTTACAATATTAGAGAAAGAACCAGACGATCCTCTTTGAGCAAGAAATTGGAGAGGGCAGGAAGGAAGAACACCCTTTTAACTGGAACAGAGCTCTGGTTCAGGGAGGGGCAGCTGTCTATTGCGAACAGTTGGATGTGAGGAAAGAGGAAAAGAGAGACGAGGACAAAGCACGAGTGGGAAAACTACGTTTTGATTTCACACAAGGCTTAAACCCCAGTCTGTTGGGTGAGGCTCATGTGACCCATTCATCCAACAGTACCTTGTCCCTCTTTTGTGTCTCCCACCACCCACTAAGTATTTATTATGTCTTTCTCTCACAGTACAAAAGTTCTAAAGTCCGAACAAAGTGATGGTCCTGGACTAATGTTATTTTGATTTAGGAATATTAGACACACAATTATATCAGATAAGCCTAAAGAAAAGCACTAAGCTTAAATTTAAATCAGATACAGTTTGTATAACCCAGTGTCCCATACAGATTGATCATAATTACCATAACAGGACTGGTTTCTGCCAGAATCAGGATAAGATAAAAACTGAAGAAACCTTTGGGGGATGATGTATACATGTGGAGAGAGATTATAATCCAAAGGGATTTTAACAGGTCCATTGCTGAAGTGGTAAATCCAGTACTGGAAGTTGAATAAAAAGCACTTTGGTTGTGTGATTAAAAGTGGTGTCATTGCAGCGCACAGTGCTGTACATACTCGAGCTCTGCCAGATGCTGGTCTTAACCTCAGACCCCCTGCAGATCTGAACAGAGGCGCCCAGCTACTGGCTAGACCATCTAATGGACAGGCTAAAGATTAAAGCACCCTGGGGTGCTGTCAGGCAGTGGATGGAGTGCGCTGACCGATATTAAAACTCATCAGCTACATTGGAGCTTAGCGTGGCCAGCCACCAAGCCAGCTTAGTTACTGGGCTAAAATAACTGCCTGTCACAAGGCACAGGCAAGCCTGTGCCCAAGGCGCATAGCAAGCAAACAAGCAGGTGGGCACTGTTCCTGCGGTGAAGCCAAAAAACCCTCACACTGTACTACTGTAAGAATTCAGGTGCTAGTAGCTGTTTACACCTAGCATTTTCTCCCTCGTTCCCGCTGTATTTTAACATGTTTTAGTTTCGCCAAGTTGCGTTAAGTGAAAACAGAGGTTTGTCGTTGCTTTTATCTCCATAATTGTTAGCGTCTCCTTTATCTCCTAGAGCCTATGCATGACAATGGCACCCAGACAATCAAGGCTGAAGTGGTTGAACCTATTGTTGAGGCCCAGGAGACATGCAGAGAAGAAGCCAACACCAGTTCCAGCTACTCACCCTCACCTCGAACAGTATACACCTGCAATGACGGCAAGGTACGTTTCTCCGAACTAAGAATTGCTGCGTATTTAATTGCATTTCCAGTTTTCCATTTTCGCTCCAACTAGTACTAGAAAACCTTTATTATTAATTTGTGTAATTTCTTGTCTGTGCTGTTTCATGGCTGTATAAATCTGTCTTTTCATGCTGACATTAATTCTTTAAAGCAAAGTGAAAACAAGAAGATCTTGTGCACGAAAATTCAAACTGATGTCATAAAAGTGATTGCAAGGCTGTTAGCATAGTCCAGTTAATTTCATATTTTCTAATGTAGGAAAAAGAATTGTTCCTAATTCACTCAGTAGTCAACAGGCCTGTTTTTTCAATTATGTTTGCATATATTTAAGCGAACTTCTAATTTATAGTGTAGAGTAGAAAGGGCACTAAAACTCTGACTATGATGGTATCTTAATAACCAATTTTGAGAGCTTCGAATCATTTGGTCCCCTTTCATTTTTCCTTGTGGGTGGCTGTGAACAGTATCCTGATTTTACAGGAAGTGCTGCGTTTCCTCTTAACACCCGTGAATCTGGGAACATGCTGTCATTGTTGATCAGTCCTTTCCCCTAGCTGCCTTACCCTTGCAGGTAAACAAGGTTGAGAAGATTATTATTGTTCCTGCAAGCGCAGCCAGCATCGTCGCTGTTTATTAGCCTGTTAGGGTTCTTTACTGCCCCCACTGCTGTAACTCAACCAGCGTCCTGTCGCTCATGACAGGGGGGGAATTGGTAGTACAAGCTCTGGGGCCTGCAGCCACTTCAAGCGTGAAGAACACTTGCAAATTAGAACTGTCCTACATGAGGGACCCCATATTAATTATTTGCACGAGAGGAATTTAAAGTGACTGACAGGTTAACCCTACTGAGAGTGTGCTGGAAAGGGTGGGGAGGGGTCGTGGAAAAAGAAGAAAAAGAAGAGGCTTTTTCTACCTCGAGGGCAGTAAAAAGCTTGTCTGCTGGCCGGGGGCCTAAAGCACATTAGCTGCACAGGGAAAAGCCTTTTGGATGCTAGCCTAAAGACTTTACGGTGATAAGAGAGTAGAGAAGGGAACGAGAGTCACATATGCACCCCCTCCGGTACAGTAGCTCACCTAGAAGACCAGGGCAGTCTGCCATGGCTGGCAATCAGCTTGAAGTGTTTGGTCCAGGCTTACGCAATGTACAGTGACTGTGTAAAGAGCCACAGCCTAAGTTTGTAATGAAGGTAATCCGTGCTACAAGAAGATAGTGGCCAGAGCTTGTTTACGTATCCTAGAGGGTGAAAGTGACCCTTCTTGGAAAGTTTGATTTAGTCTAAGCGGGAGGTGAAAGCTGAATGTGTCCTGCTATAATTAGCATGTACTCTGTTTGCCTTCACACTACCAGAATTTTACTAATCTGTACAAAATCGCTGAGATTACACCACAAGACACAAGAAAAATTAAAGCATCATCAAGCTGCAAACACACACACACAAACACATCTTCTTCATTATAGTTTGAAAATATTTTTGGGCAAAATGATTAAGGAAAAGCTTACGTTTTAAAAGTAAGCCGCCATTTAAAATCAGTGAAAGGTTGAGGAAAGCTGTTCCAAAGATTTTGGACTACAAACTCAAAACAGCAGATTTAAAATAAGAGCACAGAACAGTTAGGAGACCCTGATCAGATGATCGCAGAGGCCTACTGCTGTCAGTAGCTCAGATATATATGCAGAAGCTTTGCCACGTCGGACTTTATATCATATTAAATTTTAAAAAAGGGGGTGATGTGTAAGGGCCTGCTAATTTTTGTAAGCAGCCTAGCTACTGCATTTGCGATCAGTTGAAAACAGGAGGAGGATGTATGTTTGTACTAAAAGTTCCAAATCATTGGATGGCAGTAAAGGTTTGATTTTTGTAATGTTTCTTGGATGGAAGAAACACGAGTAGATGAGCTCTGAGATGTGAGGTTTCAAATGCTGGTAAAAATAATAGCAGGTCTTTAGCAGAGGGTTTGATATCGCTGGCGAGCGGCACGATGTAATGACTGACCTCCTTAGAGAAGTTTTCAGGGCGGAATACAAGAGCCTGATGTCATGATGTTGCCTAGCAACCACCTACCAACAGTCTAAAATAACCAATTTGTAGCATTTATTCACCTATATCACATTATAAAAGCATTGTGTGATTTTTGACTTCATGACAATAGCTTATCATCATATTATATCCACTGGTATTATGCATGATATATTATTACATCATGTTGCTTAGCGATCAACCTACCAGTGGGCTAAAAGGACCCATTTATAGCATTTATGCACCTAAAATACATTAGGGACACCTTTCATTTCACAACAATAATATCTAACTTTAATAATTTTATAATAGTTTTACAAATTTCAGAGCTATGGGAAATTTGGGTGAGTTCAATTATACATGCAAGTTTGTGATTTTTTTACAGAAAAATTATTTTTCTGCCCCAAATCATGAAAGACAGATGTTTCTTTTTTTAAGTTGTCTTCATGCTTTCCCGTTTGTCTTGTTTTTTTCTTTTTTGGTCAAGAGCTATGAACATTTCTGTTCAACCCTATCTGACTCAAAATCAAATTGCTGTGTCTTCCAAATTTGACCTGTAAAGAGTCACAGTGTAACTGACGTTTGATCCTCAAAGATCTGGGTTATTCCCACTTTTTTCCCCACAAACAAACAGTTAAATAGATGTGAAGCTGTAATGTTCTTTATCTAAAACACGGATATCTACTTTGTCTTCTGTTGACTAAAAATGAATAAAACTAGTTGAGTGTCACAACAATAAATCCTGACACCGTGCCGGTGACAACATACTGTTTGTTGTATAATGAGCCGTAGATGCAGAAGAAGAAGTTTCCAGTTGTGCTTTTCACAAACCTTTGTTTTACGTCTCTAGGTACACCTTGGTGGTGGGATCTGGGTGGAAGAAGAGAAATGGCACCAGCTGCAGCGGACCCAGGGAGATTCTAAGTTCACAAAGAACCTGGCTGTAATGATCTGGGGCACAGAAACCCTCAAAAACCGCAGCGTCACTGGAGTGGCCACTAAAAAGAAAAAAGATGCCTTGCCTAAACCTCCACTGTCACCCAGCAAGCTGAAGATTGTCAGAGGTAAGACAAACGTTTCCTTTTTCTTTAAAATGTGAATTTCAAACGTTTGACAAACCCTTCTTTGGACGAGTTGCAAAAATGTTTTAGTAAAGGTAAATTCTTTAGCCTTAAGGCGAGGCCAAAATGAGCGGCTTTTAATTTGATGTGGTCTGATTACTCACACTCGCTCCTTCCCCAGAGTGTCTCTACGACAGAGTGTCTCAAGAGACAGCCGACAGTGCAGAGATAACGCAGAGATTGTCCAAAGTGAACAAATACATTTGTGAAAAGATAATGGACATCAACAAGTCCATCAAGAATGAGGAGCGGCGGGAGTCCAAGCTGCTCATCAGACAGACAGTCAAGATGGAGAACTTCACCTACGATGGCATATAGTGATCAACTGTCACGCCAGCGCCTTCTGCCCCGCGTGGTCTGCAGGATATTGAGGGGACTTGATATGGGTGGTCGGGGGATGCTGTAACCATTTCAGGAGCGGTCGTATTACTTTGGCACATCGGATTGGTTGTTATTTGAAATGTTAAAACAAAGAGGCCCCTTCGCCCGCCCCCTCCGTAAAGAACCATCATCACATTTCTGCGAGCCCGCTTTTCTAATTGGCCAACAGACAGCTTTACCCAGTGGTTAGAAACTGAACATGTGAGCTAGCTCGATATAGGCTGGTGTGAGTGTTTTTATAAGCTTTACAGTGGCATTGGTACAGAGATGCAGATTCTTGAGGTTTGTGCACGTGTGTCAAAAGAGAAATTAGGTGTGATTATTACTTTATCGTTCTGTGTCAGAACATAATTGTTGAGTCCTTGAACTTTTAAAAAGTAAGAGATTATTTCCCTGGGCGAACGATTGATGCTAGTTTGCATTAGCGCTTAGATGCGTGAGAGGTTGACTGTTATGGTGACTACTCAATAACTGCTGGGAGTTGGTGCGGTTGGTACTTACTGCATAGAATGGGACATCAGGGTCTCAAATGCACAAGTCTTAATTAGTAACAGCCATATTTCATTTTGCAGCAGAGATTCTGTTGCTCCTAAAGAGATTAATTATGGGCGGGTGCTCCCACTTAACCGTATAACTTTATTATAAAGACAGCTTACTGAGATTTAATGAGACTCTGTCGAGTCTCTAGAATGCTGTATTTGTTTTTTATGTTTTTTTTAATGTTAATCTTTATGAATATTTGCCATCCACGAGGGAGCACAGGAGACGTTTTGATCGGATATTTTTTGTGTTACTTTAAGGAAACTTGACTGTTGAGTTGCAGTGGTACAGGCATGTTGAGACCTAGAAAGGCCTTAAATGGATCTGGCAATCACCAGGCACTGATAAGCTCCTGGGTTTTCTAGTATGCTGTGATTGTAAATGTATTGGAAGCTGAAGTCACGACGCTTCATCTGCACTTTGCTGTGAGAATGTACGAGGTGGCCAGGTACTATTTTCTGTGTAGTTCACACCATTAAGTTTGGCTGAGCCGGACCGCTACCCGGATGAAAATCGAGGCACAGCTCTGGTCATCGTCTTGCGGAAGCGGTGTTAGCTACGGGTAAAGCTGTCTGGGATACTATTTTGCTGCTGAAGCTGTCTGGCCCCTGCTGAACCCCATAATAACCCCCTCTTGTTTAAGGCACGCCACTGGGGAATTAAAGTAAGGTTGCTCCAGTGACAACTTTCCCTGAGCTATGCCATCAGAACTTTTAAAATTTAGTCTCTTTCTTTCATGTTTTTATTCTCCTCTTCTGTTCTGTGTGTGTGTATATCCATGTATACACACACACACACACTTTCTTTTTTCTTTTTGATCCAAAATGGCTTGGGTGGCAATCTGCAGGCTGGAACTAAACGCTGCAGATTGAAATCTCAACTGTGACCTAGCTGTGGCTAACTGTGAATCTACTGCAGAGCTGCTCATCAAGCCTTTCTCCTCCTCCTCACAGTCTAGATTCTCGTTCGTCTGTTGATTTGTTTTTCTGTATCATATCGTCCGTCTCGGTTTTTGTTATTTTAAAAGTTCAGATCAGCCTTTTCTTAAGCTACTTTATTTCAGTGTACATAAGCAACTCTTTATTATTATTATTTTCCACCAAACGTTGATATTTCAGTTTGTAGTCTCGTTACGGTTTCAAGCTTCTGGACAAGTTTGGTTTAGCAAATTGATGTTGTAATTCCACGTTACCT